AAACTCAAGTAACGAGTCTTTAATCTGAAAAATGTTGCCCCCTGCATGACAGAAACTGATTTCTTAAATTTCTTATTTGCTTCAGACGAATTCACCTTCTCTTCTTCTGTGACCCTGTTCATGACTCAGACATGTAGATATAAGGAGAAGGGCCTGAAGTCCATGGAGCAAATCACAGCAGTCTGGTGGGGCCTTGAGAGGTGGGCAATAAACTGCCAGTTCTTCCTGAAGGATGAGGATTTAGAGATGATCACAGGGGACCTAGGTTGGAGGATGTAACCTCATCTGCTCATGGGTGTCATCTTGGCAGAGTTTACTGACCTCTGGACAAGATCTATTTAATTTACTGGAGATAATGCCTAAGGCATAGGCTGTTTGGAAAGGATATCCCTTTGAACTGAAAATCAAATTGAAGATAATGATTTGGGAATATTTCACCAGTTGTTTAGGAAATCCTGGACTCTCATGTAGTCTATATTCACAACTTTCCATGCTTGCAAAGACACTAAGAGTTAAATATGTTCCTTTTCTGTGAAGCTTCTTAAAAATTCATATCTATGCTGCTCATACACACACACACACACACACACACACACACATATATATATGTATATATGTGAATAGCCAACAGAGACTTGATAGCTTTCTTTTTTAAAAATTAATTAATTAATTAATTTTTGGCTCTGTTGGGTCTTCGTTTCTCTGTGAGGGCTTTCTCTAGTTGCGGTGAGTGGGGGCCACTCTTCATTGTGGTGCACGGGCCTCTCACTGTCATGGCCTCTCTTGCTGCGGAGCACAGGCTCCAGATGTGCAGGCTCAGTAGTTGTGGCTCACGGGCCTAGTTGCTCCACGGCATGTGGGATCTTCCCAGACCAGGGCTTGAACCTGTGTCCCCTTCATTGGCAGGCAGATTCTCAACCACTGTGCCACCAGGGAAGCCCCGATAGCTTTCATTTAACATATTTAGCTGGATCCTTTCAACCAAAATGTGTATCTGCAATGTATTCTAATGTAATCCAATTAGAGCTACTAACACCATCTGTATATACATTTTTGGTTCAGCTGTCAAAAAACACACAAATACAACGCTCATAATACAATATTCAATAGTTGTGTAATATTTTATTGTACTATACTTCATTTAACTTTTTTCTATTTTCAAATGGATCAATTTTCATTTTCTTCCTTTTACGATTAGTATTTTACTACATATTTTAATATGTAAATCTTTGCCCACATCTCTGTTATTTTTCTTGGGATACGTTACTAGAAGTGCAATTACTATAGCAAAGTATATAAACTTTTAAACCAAAGGTTTAAATTATGTATAGTATTTAAAGAGTCTAATAACACAAGACTTCTAACAAAATGTCCTAGCACTCTCCAGACTTTGTCTGTCTCATTTCCCTCACTTTAGCTGTTTCTTCTGTTTACCTTCAAATACTGTTTTCTTGATTTTTAAATTTTAAGACATTATCTATTGATCCTATGATAAAAGTAATAACTACATTTCTTACGTGACCAAAAACATTCCTTTCCCCTACCCTCTCCCCAGTGATTATACTTTTTGGTTTAAATCAGTATTTGGTATTTACATTTTTATGCTATATAAATATTATCCTCTAAGCCATGTAAAGTATTATGATTACATTTTCTTTCTTATACATTAAAAATGTATTCACTGCAGCTAAGAACTGCCTCATTTCATAACATATGTTTAATGTGGCTGTTTAAAAACGTGGGCCCCAAATTCTTTGAAATTGTTCCCAGTGATAGGTGAGGTATACAGCCCCTCCCCTTGATTCTGGGTGGGCTTGTGACTATTTTGATAGGAGATCATGAAAATGGTGGGTGATTTCAGAGGCTGGTCATAAAAGAAGATGCAGCCTCTGCCTTGTTTGCTGGAAGGAACACTTGTGTTTGGAGTTCTGAGTTGGCAAGAAAGAAGTCTGACTACTCTGAGGCTGCCATGCTGTGAGGAAGCCAAGCCAAGTGGAGGAGCCATGTGTGAATACTCTGGTTGTTAAGAAGCCTGGTTTTCTTGACAGCCCAGCCTAGGTGCCAGGTGTGAGTGGAGACCCCAAATGATTCCAGTCCCCAGCATCACTGAATCACCTCTAGCCTCTGGGTCTTTCTGGCTGAGGCCCCAGACATCATGGAGCAGTCATCCCTTCTGTGCATTGTCCAAATTCCTGACCCACAGAATCCATGAACATAATAAAATGGTTATTTTAAGCAGCTAAGTTTTGGGGTAATTTGTTATGCAGCAGTGGTAACTGGTACTCTTACTCTTAACTGGTACTTTCTATGTTCCTGTTATTAATTTGTCCCTAAATTCTCAATATGGCCAAGTACATTAGGGGATCATCAGTTCCATTGTTTCCTTGGAGATATTACTTCTGGAGATCTCTGTCCTCTTGTCCCAATCGAGCCTGGATGCAGAGCCATCAGCCTAGGACTTGCATGGGTGACAGACAATGTAGCATGCTATTGTACTTACAGATGTGGGCCCTGTAGCCAGGCTGCCTGGGTTTGCATCCTGGCTCTACCACTTACCAGTGCTGTGTGACTGTGCTCAAGTTAATCTCTCTCTGCTTCAGGTTTCTCATTAGAGCAGTGGTTGGCACAAAGTAAGTTCTCTTATTGTTGGCATTCTTGTTGTTGTTTATTCTTCTTCCCTTCATATTGTCCTGGGAATTCCCATCATCTCACATCTATGTCTGATGCCCTAGTTCCTAAATTCCACATCTTTTTCTTTCTTGGTTATTCCCTTGATAGAATACATCACCAGCTCCCTAAAAAAAGATGCCTAGGAGGTAAGTTTTTTGAGACTTTATTTATGCTTTAATTGTCTTTAACATCACACTTGATAATATGACTGGCATAAAATTCTAAGTTGGAAACAACTTCTCTTTGAATGTTGAAGTTCTTACTTCATTGTCTTGAAGCTTTCAGTGTCACTACTAAGACAGTTCTGATTCTTGATCCTTTGTACGTAGGTTTTTCTTTCTGGAAGTACTAAGATCTCTTCTTTATCCCCATCGTTTCAAAATTTGATAATGATGTCACTTGGTGTCGGTCTTTTAAAATACACAATTTAGAGTGCCATTTCAATTTGAAGACACCTTCAGGTCCTTCATTTCTTAGAATTTTTCTTTTCTGTTAATTCTTTATTAATTTTTCACCTCCATTTTCATTAAGTCTCTTTCTGGGACTCATAACAGATATAAGATCTCTCAGATTGGTCCTCTAATTTTCTTATCTTTTCTATTTTCTATTTTCTTCTGATTTAAAAAAAAATAAATTTATTTATTTTATTTATTTATTTTTTGCTGTCTCGGGTCTTCATTGCTGCGTGAGGGCTTTCTCTAGTTGCAGTGAGCGGGGGACTATGCTTTGTTGCAGTGCACGGGCTTCTCACTGTGGTGGCTTCTCTTGTTGCAGAGCACGGGCTCTAGGTGCGTGGGCTGCAGTAGTTGTGGCACACGGGCTCTAGAGCACAGGCTCAGCAGTTGTGGCGCACTGGCTTTGTTGCTCCGCAGCATGTGGGATCTTCCCGGTCCAGGGTTCGAACCTGTGTCCCCTGCATTGGCAAGCGGATTCTTAACCACTGCACCACCAGGGAGGTCCCTACCTCTGATTTTTTTTTTAAATTCTGCTTTCATATTTTTATACTTTATAATTCTGATTTCTTATTCTTGAATTGTCCTTTTTTACATATCACCTGTTCTTATTTCATGGATTTAATACCTTATCTCACTGAATATATTGATTGTAGCACATTTGGAAATGCTTTTTTTCCCCCTTGCACTGCCTCTGTTTCCTCTAAGTTCCCTCCTTTTTCTTTTTAATCAGTTTGATTTTGACTTGTTCTTTCGCGGCAGAGGCAGCTCTCAAATGCCCAGTGGTCCTTTATTAGCTATTCTACTTCAGTTGGATGTTCTGTGCCCTTGGATACTCTGAGGCTTGTCAACTGGTGGACCTCACTGTAAGGCAGCTGGCCAGAGTTACGGCATGTTTACTGAGCGAGCCCCAAAAGTCCACATCTGCAGGGCTCTTCCTCTGGGTTTGACAGTTTCCCCAGAAAGGAATCCTCTCATTTTCTACCTGGTGAATATAACGGATTTTAAGCTGGCTGTAAGTATTTTGAGATCTATTAGGGAGGAGTGGCTGGAGAGGGAAAATCTTATCTTTCCAAAAGCAGATATCTTAGGCTCTCTCTATTTGAAGTGTGCCATCTACCTCCACCTCAGCTGTGCCTGCTTTCCCATGTCCAGTCTCAGATTAACCCAATCAATTAGAACCACCAAGTTAAATAAATTCCATGAAGTTTTGGATAGAAAGGCAAGAACTTTTTGTATCTGGATTTTAAAAAAAACCCCAAAATTTCTGGATTTAAGAAAAACCCAAAAAAGCTCCCTCTCATCTTCCATACCTTCCCTTCCCCACAAAAAAGTAGAAAATTCACCCAAGTCCCTTTACCCCTCTTACTTAACCATACTTTTTTTTTTTTCCCCCTTGATAATGCCTCAGAACTTGAGTACTCAGGATCCAAGTTTGTTTTAAAATAACCCAATGAAGTGACAGGCAGAACTCCTGGAATTCTGCAGCTTGTGCTAGAGTCTACATATGGGAAATTGGCATCAGTTAAAGAGTGGTGCTATTACCGTAGCCCAATTTTTGAAAGCCTTTAGAAAAAAAAAATCATCTGAGTTAATTAGTATTTACCACAGGCACAGATTTTGTATTGCAGTATTCTATGAATTCAGATAATAAGAAAACACAATACTGCAGTCTCTAACTTTTAACTAACATTTACCTCTCAAAAATGTATATTATAAATTAAGAATTTTACCTGTTATATGAATAAGCTCTTATATGACTGATCTATATGCTCCATATGGCTGATCAATCAGTCTTAGATCATCATAAAATATGAGCTATGTTTTAAAATCAACCAAATACTATTGGTACGTAAAATAAGAGTAATTTCATTTTACCTCTCTGATCTGCTTAATCCACAAATCTCTTCCAAGAAACTCCTGATGTAAGACTACAGGAGCTGAGTTTAGATTAAAAGTCAAGGAGTCACTGGTCTTTTCTTTAATAAAAGGCTGGAGATCAGAATTTATCTAGAAGGAGTAGTGAAAAGAGTTAAATCAGTGAAATGCATATACATTGGCATGTTTTAGTCATATTCAGAAAGCACCAGTTACTACAGTGAAAAATTAAGCTTAAGGAACTCAGTTTTCAGATGTACTTTAATAAGCAAAAGAACAGCTCATATGATTAACAATAATCTTAAAAAAACTTTAAAAATAGTTTTCCCCTAACATATTTCTTTTTTTTTCTTTTCTTTTCTTTTTTTTTTTGCGGTACGCGGGCCTCTCACTGCTATGGCCTCTCCTGTTGCGGACCACAGGCTCCGGACGCACAGGCTCAGCAGCCATGGCTCACGGGCCCAGCCGCTCTGCGGCATGCCCGATCTTCCTGGACCGGGGGACGAACCCGCGTCCCCTGCATCGGCAGGCGGACTCTCAACCACTGCGCCACCAGGGAAGCCCCACATTCCTTTTTTATTTGGCAACAGCCTTTATTTTGCTTTTTAAGTTCAAGGTAAGGATCATAAATTATATTTATTTAATAAATATAATCAAATAATAAATAAATTAATCAAAGATTTAATAAAGTACATAAAAACTCACCTGGAGATATTACATATTTTTGTATATATTTCCCCCTTATGAGCTATTTAAATGACATCTAAGAAATATGTACTAAATGGAATTTAAAATTACATATACATGGAGGTAACAAAATAACAGCTAATCTTGAGACATTTTATATTTCATTATGCCCATTCAAAAGAATCAGTTATTGGAATTAAAGCTTTCAACTTTGCTCCATATATTTCTAAATTTCATTAACTTTCCACAGTTTGTTTTACATAGGAACTATAAGGGAACTGTAACAAAAATGCAAATATTCTTCCATTTTGTGACTGGCAACATTACATGTTATTTAATAATTTGCAAGAGCTCTTTCAAGAACCCTTTCAGATGGTAAGAAGAGACAAACATCACAAATATGGTTTAAGTAAGCTGTAGCTTTCTATCAAAATTATACAGTACTCACCAATCGTACTGTTTATATTATGTAATAACCACCATGAATGATAGATTTTATGTACTCAGTAAAGTTTTTGAGATATAAAAGCAGTTTATTAAATGGTAAAAGGTTTCTTGTGTATCATTTTAGCTATTTAAATACAGAAAAAACAGAAAGGGTATGTAAATACCTTATGACTCATGGCCATGTGCTTCCCATACTGAAATGCCATATCCTGAACCTCAGCATCATGCTTTGCTAATTCCATTGCAGCTTGGCAGCTCTTTGCTAATAAGGCACCATGGGAGAGAAAAGTCTGCTTCTTCCAAGTCAATATTCCAATATCATCTGTGATATGATTTTCCTAAAAATTGCAACAAAAGCCAAGATTAAAAAGGTTTTAGGAGTAATTTGTTTCGGTTTTTGAAGAATAAGCATTAAGAAATGAACTATTCAAAACCCTCAGGTTGCTGCAACAAGACAGAACTAAAAGATGCTGACCCTCACCTCTACCTAAAGAGAACTAAGGAGGTGGGAACTGCTTTTTTAGGGTAATTGGGAAAAAATGAAAGAAATGCTGAAGCAAATTTTATTTTGAGCTAGGGAACTTCTATTAAAATATACTTATAAGGCAAAATTAGAAACTTAGACCTTCGAACTAACTCTCTTCTAGATTCATATCAGTTCTTAATTAAGTGCTAGTATTCCAAAACACAAGAATCCTATTGTCTTTAACTTATGTTAAAATGTCAAGGGCATAGTGAAGGAACTGCATTCTCTTATAAGCAGGTAGACAGAAAAAAATCAGAGAGAAGGTAACCCATTACAATGGAGTATGATTAGATCATACTATTCATCAAAGTTTATTCCCATAAGAAGAAACAAGATAAGGGAAGACATAACTGTAGTTTATTTAATTTCATCTTTTTACATTACGAAAATCACGGTAGTATCTTTAAGTAAGCACAAGCATACACATACCTACTGACTCTAGACCAGTGATGTCCAATGAAATTATAATGTAAGCCCCATATACAATTAAAAATTTGCTAGTAGCTACATTAAAAAAGTGAAAAGAAACAGGTGACATTAATCTTAATGACATTTTATCTATCCCAATATATCTAAAATATTACTATAATAAAATAAAACATATAATCAATATAAAATTAATAATAATATTTTACATTCTTTTTTTACACTAACTTTTCAAAATCAGTGTATATTTTACACTTACAGCACATCACTAGGGACATTTGAAGTACTCAATAGGTACAAGGAGCTGGTGGCTACCCTAGTGGACAGCTCTGCTTTAGCCAGTTAGCTCTCTGAGGACAAGAATGATGAAGCGATATACATAATGATGCTCATTTTACAGTGTTTCTTTGAAACCTCAAACTAACTAGAACCCATCCAGAAGGATTAATTAACCCAAACACTTTGCTTCCTGCTGCCCATACCACAATCCTTCTCCTTCCACCATTATTTGGGGACAAAATAAAAAATAATAAGAAAACTTAGACACCATTAAAAAATGATCTTAGATATAGCCCCACCTCTTTCACCATGTTGAAGGGAATCTTCAACCCCTTGGTCAGATCAAATTCTCAACTTAATTTTACATGCTTTTAAACAAAAAGAGAGTTCCACTTATAGCAACAGTTACAAATACGCAACATAGTATTGTGTAATAATCAAAAAGCCTCTTGAGGAGAAACAGTGCATAAACATTGCGAATAAATGATAGCATTTAATTTTGGAAATCTGAGAATGGATTTTAAAATATGTGAAGTTAATATCATATTAATAAACCTAGATAAAAACCATATTATCTCTCCAGATATACTAAAGATGCATTTGACAAAATTCAACTCCTATTCTTTTTTTTTTTTTTTGCAGTACGCGGGCCTCTCACTGTTGTGGCCTCTCCTGTTGCGAAGCACAAGCTCCGGACGCACAGGCTCAGCGGCCATGGCCCACGGGCCCAGCCGCTCCGCGGCATGTGGGATCTTCCCGGACCAGGGCATGAACCCGTGTCGTCTGCATCGACAGGCGGACTCTCAACAACTGCGCCACCAGGGAAGCCCTCAACTCCTATTCTTGATGGGAAAAAAGCACTGAATAAAACAGGAACAGATGTGCATTTCTTTTTTTTTTTAAATGTAATATACTGCAATTTTATTTCAATAGCACAAACGAAGTTAGCGTGTAGGAAATTTATTTATATTTTTTAAAAAAATATTTATTTATTTGGTTGTGCCGGGTCTTAGTTGCAGTGGGTGGGCTCCTTAGCTGAGGCTCAAGGGCTCCTTAGTTGAGGCAGGCAGGCTCCTTGGTTGTAGCTCCAGGGCTCCTTAGGTGCGGCATGCAGGCTCCTTAGTTGTGGCATGTGAACTCTTAGTTGCGGCATGCATGTGGGATCTAGTTCCCTGACAAGGGATCAACCCAGGCCCCCTGAATTGGGAGCGCAGTCTTATCCACTGCGCCACCAGGGAAGTCCTGCGTGTAGGAAATTTAAATGAAGCAGTATGGTAAAAATAGCAGAGAACCAAAAAATCTAAAAAGCAAGTACACCTAAAGCATGAGAATTCATTAGTGTTTCATCTTCAGTTATGACTGACACTTGATGCTTGCAAAGTTTGAAATAAACTTTGAGATCATGATCACTATTCTGAAGAAATTTCAGCACCAGCACTAAGATTTGTACATTCAGTTGGTTTGTAGTTGACTTGTTAGCCATTTACATACTATAGTACAGATTTGTCACAGGTCAGATCACAGTGTTGAAGGAAAGAAAGACCTTCCTGTAATTATACAGAAAGGATCCACTAAACTGCACTCAGCTTAAGACATCCAATGTACAAGAGCACGAAAACCATCACAGTAATGTGGTTCCAAGGAACATAGCTTTGGTAAGGAAAATAACCTAAGCTCCTGTTTCCCATTTTAATTACTGAAATCTCTACCAATGACAAAAATGTCATATAGGACACTAAATGTATACAGTAATTCAAACCATGCAAAGAACATATTTAGCAATCTGGGATAATGCAGAATGACTGGAAATATAACGAACGTGATTCAACACTGGTTCTTTTTGTCATTTTACACAGACGTCATGTTAATATTAGACCAAAACACAAAATGTTTAGTGCATAAACCAGTTTCTCTTTTAAGATCTATCATTTTTATTGTAGTCTTTTATCTTACTTTGGACCACTTGTACCCCGTACTCTATCCTACTATAGACTGTTTAACTTAATCAACAAAATCAAAAGTAATTTCTCACCAGATTTATGGGGGACATAAAAATTTATAACATCAAAGTGTCTGCATAACCAAAAGTACAATAATAAAGGAGAAAATGCCTCCTATTTCTTTTAGAAAATAGTACTTTTTAAGCTTGCTGCATCTTTAATGCTTTTACTATTGCATGACAATGAATAGTTGATAGAAAAAAAGAACTGTATACTTGAATTATGATAACTCATCATCACAGATTAATCTAATAATGAAGTTTCTGCAGAAACAGGAACTATTTTAACAAGGAAAAAAAAAATGCCCTCATTCCAGATGTATATTTCTTTAATATGACAGGTGCCTGTGTGTGTGTGTGTGTGTGTGTGCACAAGCATGCATGATCACCCAAAAGTCAGCAAATACTTTATGGGGAAACACATGAGCCCTTCTTCCTAAAATCAGGAACAGGACAGAGATGAACACAATACCATTGCTATTTAACAATGTAATAGAAGAGGCAAGAAAAGGATAGCTGTATAAAAATTAGAAAGGAAGAGTTTAACTATCACTATTTGAAGACAGTATAACTGTATATTGGGGAAGACCAATATACAAAACTCAACCAAAACACTACTAAAACAAGAAGATAATTCAGTAAGGTAGCAGTATATAAAATCAATATAATTTATAATTAACATAATAGATGTAACCATAGCTTTCATACATAAAAACTAATCAGAAAGTATTGTAAATAGGGCCTTTTCTTACATTATATCTATGAAAAAAAGATTTTAAAAGCTGGGAATAAACTTAGAAATGTACAAAATTGATATGAAAAAAATGTTAAAATACTACTGAAGGAAAGCAAGTTAAATAAATATAAAGGCATATCATGCTTAAAGATAGTAAGATCCAACCTCATAAAGATACTCCAATAAAATTAACACCACCCCTCCCCCCTCCCCCCCCCCCGCCTGCCTCTAAGATCTCTGCTTCCTCCCGTAGCGCGAGGACAAAAGAGCCACTCCCAGCTGCTGTGCCCAGGCATCATCCCCCCCCCCCCCCCAACTTAGGCAAGCTGATTCTAAAGTTCATATTGGAAACAGCATGAAGAATAACCAGAATAAGCAGGAAGCCATGAAAAAGAAGAGCAGTGTAGGGTGAGGTGGGGGGAAGAAGGGTAGATGAGGAGAGCTAATGATGTCTAGCCTTATCAGATCCTATACTATAAAGCCTCGGTAATTTAAAAAAAAAAAGTGCGCTTTTTAGATAGACAAACGATGGAACGAAATAGAAAGTCCAGGAATCAATCAAACTAGACACAGGAATTTACTATATTTTAGGGAAAATTTGGACTTTTCAGTAAATGGTGCTGGTACAACTGAATAGCTTTCTGGAAGAAAATTAAGACTGCTCTGCATTTCACACAATTTATCAGGATAAACTCCACATAGCAAAAAATAAAAGCAAAAGAACCACAGACAACAATAGAAGACAAAAGACAATAAGGAAAGGTATGTGCACTTTCTATCACAGATGAATGACAAATCTCCCTGTGGTAGGCTAATAACGGTCCCCCACAAAGACAGCCACATCTTAATCCCTAGAGTCTGTGAATGTTACCTTACATGGTAAAGGGGACTTTGCAGTTATGTTAATTCAGGATCTTGAGATGGAGGAATTATCCCAGATTAACTGGATGAGCCTAATGCAGTCAAATGGATCCTCATAAAAGGGAGGCAGCAGGGTCTGAAGATGGAGGATGAAGCCACAAAACAAGAAATGAAGGTGGAAACTAGAAAGGGCAAGGAAAGGGATTCTCCCCTAGAGCCTCCAGAAGGAATACAACCCTGACAACATCTTGATTTGGAGGCTTCTGACCAAACAAACAAACAAACCACTTTCCACCGCCTTAAAGCATCACTCAGTGTTGGTGAGGCTGTGAAGAAACAGGCATCTCAAATATGACCGGTAGAGTCTGTCATACAGAGTGAAGTAAGTCAGAAAGAGAAAAACAAAATACCGTATGCTAACGTACATATATGGAATCTAAAAAAACGGTACTGATGAACCTAGTGGCAGGGCAGGAATAAAGACGCAGATGTAGAGAATGGACGTGAGGAC